TCATATCACAATAAAATATATATCAAAATTAATAACTGTTGATGTTTACTGAGCAGCAAGTAGTTTTATTTATTACTCTAAAGGGAAAAAAAAAATCTCCCAAATAAGTAACTCTTTACATATGTCTTAAGATTGAAAATTTCCTTTTTTGGGGTCATAGCCCTCACCAAAATGAGGTTCCCTTCCTCCTTCCTTAACTATAATTGTGTCCTTTGTTGCTCCTTTCCACCCTTAGCTTTGATGAATCGTCACTTACTTTTTTGCATTGTTTTATGTCTATTTTTTCTTTAATATGGGGAAGCTAAAATTGCTACTTAATATGAAAGGTTATGGATAATTCTCTTATTCTAAGTTTCTGGAGTTCAGACATGCCCCATGTGCATTCTGTTCTAGAAGCTCCGATGAGGAATGGCAGAATTTCTAGATGATTAAAACCCCTCATAAACAAACTGGTTGGTTTTTTTAGACTAATGTCTGATTGATTTGCTTTTTTCACCTACCCAAACTGAGATTTTTAAATTCTATTTTAATTACTTCCTTGTCCTGAAAATAGATTGCTTGTAATATGAAGCCCTTCTCAGTTTGGTAACTTTCTACAGGGTAAGTGATAAAGGTCATCAGTGTTTTAGAAAGTGAATAAATGAATGAACGAGTGAATGACTAGCTAGGTAGGTTCACTTAAATTATTTCTATTGTATGCTATATTGTTTATGATGAGCCTTGTGCTATCTTAGGTTTTGTCTCTTTTCAACTTTTTTGTTTCCTTATAATTTCCACACACCGTCAGAAACCCCTTGCTTCTTTGATAAGCTAAACTCTTAATTCCTTTTTTAAAAATGTTCATTTTCATTAAAGTCCTATTTAACATTAGATATTAACTTTGACAGATGTTAATGCTGCTTTTCAATCAGGAGAAATATATTCTTGGGAAGTGCCAATTTGAATTGAATATATTTGAATTTCGTATGTGAATTAAACTATTATTTAAACCTTACCCATCCATCATATGGGGGATGGAACAGCTGGCTGGTTTTATACATAAGTGTTTTTTTCCCCCTAGCAATAACAAAACATTAGAAAATGGCTTCCTATTATACCAAAGAGAATTTAATACAAATTTACTACAGGACGTCATTGTTTGTCAGTACCTTAGGCTGCCTAGAATTTAAATTGGCAGACACTTCTCTGGTATAAAATGCTTTCCATGGACAATATTAATATTTTAAAAATCCTTTTTGCTCCTGCAGATTTCCAGTAGACAGAAAGTCTAGCTGTATTTACTCTTTGGCTACTAATGAATGCTATTAAAGTATTATTTATCTTATTTAGGCAGAAGCACTTCAGGTATGAGTTCAGAATTGCCAAGTAAGGCAAGCATTTAATTTTAAAATAATAATAATAAAATAATCCATACAAAGGTGGCAACAAAAAATGTAGATAACTAGAAAGAATTTTGGACTTGAGTCAAGAATCTGGGTTGTATCCCCACCTGTGTCACTAACTAGCTGGGTCACCTCGAGTAACCTACTGCCCAACTCCGGACTGCATATCTTCTCTAAAGGCTCAGCATCTACACTGCATGTTCTGTATACTAAAGAGAATGGGGCTGAGGGAAGCTGAATCCTCTTGTTTATCAGCTATCCAGACCAGTCTAGCAGCTCTGATGTCAGTCTCCAGCTGCATTTTTTCATCTTTTTTATAATCCATTAAATCCTTGGTAGGCTTTCATTGCTAGTTCTTTTTCCCTGGGAATTTGCATTTGGAGATGTTGAAGGCTTCCTACCTTTTGGAATTTTTCTATGCTCATGAATTCAGTGTAAAGTTGTTTAGAGTTGATGAAAAATACAAGAATTAAAAGTCTTGTTTGAATGAGTATCTCTGTAAAATCAGACTGTTTCCATCATGACTAATGTACCTTTACTCTTCCAGAGTTTTGAAATGAATACGTTTGAGTCTTGGTATAGTGAGGCATGATCGTCAGTTTCTCTTATTAACCATGTAGCATTCTCCCACTTACTCCTGTTCTAAACATTTTTTTAAGCCCAGAATGATTGAGTAACAAGGTTCCATATCACAGGAAAGCTTGCTAGCTTGATCTTCGGTTACATTTTAGGTACTTGAAAATTTCATTGATTTGAAATAGTTTGAATTGCAATGAGCTCTACAATTTACCTTTCATTGGTTTGCTAGCAAATAAAGTAAGCAAAATGATAACTTGCTTCAAAGTGTTAAGAAATTAACTTATGCTTCAGGATGTGTATTGTGTAAAAGCTAGTTCTAGATAAAAAAAAAACTTCATTAAAGTAGGTCTAGCACTATAATTAAAAAGGCAGAGAATAACCAATGTTGGTGAAGATGTGGGAAAAATTAGAACCTTCATACATTGTTGATAGGCATGTAGAATGGTACAGCCGCTATGGGAAACAGTTTGTTGGCATCTCAAAAAGTTAAACATAGAATTACCATATGACCCAGCAGGTCTACTCCTAAGTATCTACCTAAGAGAAATGAAAACATATGTCCACACAAAAACTCATACGTTAGTATTCATAACAGCATTATTCATAATAGCGAAAAAGTGGAAACAAGCCAGATGTCCATCAGCAGATAAATGAATAACAAAATGTTATGTATCTGTATAATTGAATGTTATTAGACAAAAAGATGAAGTACTGATGTATGCTACAACATGGATGAAACTCTAAAAACACGTTTTATAAAAATTCAAACACAAAAGGCCACATATTATGTGATTCTACATATATGAAGTGTCCAGAATAGGCAAATCCATAGAGACAGAAAGTAGATTGCTGATTTCCAGGAGCTGTGGGGAGGGAAGAATGTGGAGTGACTGCTAATGGGTATATGGGGTTCTTTTTGGTGTGAAGAAAATGTTTTAAAATTGGATAATGGTGACGGTTGTACAACTCTGTGAATTGAATTATATACATTAAAAGGATGAATTTTATGGTTATGTGAATTATATCTCAATAAAGCTGTTATATCAAAAACATTAGTGATTATATTACTGTAATTACTTGAAATTATAAAAATATATTTAAATTACATTTTGCCAGGAACTGGGAAGAGGGTGGGATGGGGAGTTAGTATTTAATGGATATCGTGTTTCAGTTGGCAAGATGAAAAAGTTCTGGAGATAGATGGTGGTGATTATCGCACAGTGTGAATGTACTTAATCCCACAGAACTGTACACTTAAAATGGTAAATTTTATGCCATGCATATTTTGCCACAATAAAAAAACAATCTTAGCCCTAAAAATTATATTTTATATTATTCTAATGTAAAAGGTATTTTGTTTTTTTTTTTTTCTTCTTAACAGGAAAACTGAAAGTGTGATTGGCCTTTTGGTTTTTATGCATGGGATCTTCTGTTCTGTGTTTTAGAACTTTTCTCCAGTATGTGTCACTGGGGGAAAGAGGGAGTTCACACACACACACACACACACACACACACACACACACACACACACACATCATCTTTATCTTGGCTTAGAATGTGATCTTGAAAACATTTTTTAACACTTCGTTTGCCAATAGGAAAGTAAACCAGACCATAGGAAATTTGTGTTGTTAAATTATAAAATAGTGAAATACCGTTCTCATAGTATGAATTATCACAGATTTCCTGGTACTTGGTTAATCTTGGCTCATTGAATAGGAAACACTTATACTGTATATAAAACACCTCTATATCTTTCTATGAGCATTTTCCTTTGTATAGCAGAATAGAATGAGCACCAAAATAGCATTGAAAATACTCACAAACATAGATATATATTTGTCCAATACAGTGGGTGAGTTTCAGAATGCAAAGGAAAGGATGGAAAAACGAAAAAAGGAAAATCCAGCAATGAGGAAGTCACTGCAAAAGGAATCAAATTATTTTCAAAGGCCGTAGAACTTTGTTATGACCCACTTTGCAAGCTCTAAATTTGCACCCTCTGAGGATTAATCTGTGAAAATATATCTTTTATAAAAAAACATTTCTAAGCCTAGCTGCTCTATAAGACATTCGAGGATGAATGGCACAAATGCCAGCAGTGCCATTACTATAGTGTACAATCAGAGAGATGTTTTGTTTTTGTTTTTGACTAGGAAGTGGTTGCTTTTAAAAGTACAAGGAACACACAGTGCTTGTGTGTGCGTCTCTGTATTTTCTGTCTGTCTATTCTACTTTTGCAGGAATAATTATGGTCTTCCAACATTTTCGTCCTTAAAAGTGGGGTTTTTCTAGAATTTGGCACTGTGGTATACTACCTTTGATTATAGGATCCAATCAGAGTTGATGTACTCAGAAATCCATTGATGTGATTAATAGTCTCCTAATCATACTTTTATTTCCTAGATTAGTCTATTTCCTGTAGTTTCACAATTTTGAACCATATCTTGAATTATCCTTTAGAGGGGGCCTGAAATCCTTATGAGTAATTTTAGTTTGTAATTTGCATGATTATTTTCATTTTCTTTGATTTCTTTTGCTTGAAGAAAATGAAATTTTGATTTTTTTAACTCTTTGAGTGCTGTTCTGTGGTAACTGGCCACCTAGTATGAACTTTTTTTTTTTTTACATGAAATACATATATTTTTTTTCCACCAGCACTAGATCCAGAAGTCTTGCCACAAGTTTCCACTAGTCTGGTTTTTATTCTCCTCAAAAGTAAAATAAAACATTCTCAGAATCTACAGGTAACAGGAAACTACACCAGGAAATGATTGTACAGGAAATGTAATTGATCATTCACTCTTTACAGTTAGATTGGTCATAGGATTCGCTAGTAAACACAATCTATTGAATGAAAAAAAAAAATGACCACTTCTAAAATCTTTGGGACCTTCAAATACATTTGAAGATTATTGGTGCCTTTGGTACCTTGCTGATTATGTTTTTATCTTTTACCTTTTCAAATGATTGTCTGCATTTGAAATTAGGAACTTTCATATCTAGCAGTTACTTTAATATTTGCTTTGTTTTCAACAGTGCCCTTAAAGATAGCCGTTTTCCCCCAATGACAAGGGATGAGCTGCCACGGCTCTTCTGCTCAGTTTCTCTGCTCACTAACTTTGAAGATGTCTGTGATTATTTGGACTGGGAGGTAAGACTCTAGACAATTTTTAAAGAAAAATGAAAGTAATTCCGGAGTAATTGTTTAAAATTAGGCCCAGAAAACAACTCTTTCAGCCCATTCTCTCTTGTAATGAAGGTAGAGAGTAACAAGGATAAATAAACTTCAGAGCTGATCAATGAGATATTAGCAAAGGAGTTTTTTTTCAGAGACAGAGTGCCGTGTGTTATTTTAATCCCCCAACTGAATTTTCTCTTCATTTTTATCCTATTATTTCACCAGAGGACCTTGTAAAAGTTGTTAATAAGTAGTAAGAAGGACTGATTGGAATTTGTTTCTCCTCTTGCATCCTGGTGCACTCTTATGTTACTGCCATCAAGCAGTTAGGTAGTCAAAGGATATGTCTAAGAATCAAGAAGCAAAAGAGTTAGGATAATACATCAGTTGGGAAAATCAGCTTGTGGATAATGACTGGGTGTTGGTTAGAGTTAAATCATACTAATTCAATTTTGGCCACCTTAACTTATATGCTTAAACACATTAACAAATAATATTAAGGTTATATCTTGGGTATCTCTGCATTGCTATTATCGGAGTAGTCTATATTGACCATATTTTTATTCTCCAACATGTGGGGTTGGGTTTTTAACCCATTTCCCTTTAGAAAAAAAAAAAAAGTGCAGTTTACTGCCAGCGTCAATTTTGCATAAACACGCTACGCTCTTTGAGGCTGAAGCAAATCTGACTGGTTTTCAATGTGAAAATAAAATATAAAAACTGTTCTTGGAGTGATTTCTAAACAGAACTTGTCTCTAATCCTAATGTAACAGAAATGTGTACATAAATTGGATTCATCAAATGAATCTTTGGTTAATAACTGTTCGAGAATGATGTTAACATTACGCATAGGAATGCTACATTTTCTAGGATTTGACGTTTTCAGCAATCGAGAATTACTATATTTTTTAAATGGAAATACCACTAAAACAGAATGCTAGGAATAGAATGATGTCATTTGTTTCCAAAGACACTCAATATACTAGAGTGATGCAAAAATAATAATAAAAGCAAGATATTTCATGGCAAACTTTGGGGATAAGGTTAGGATTGTAATCTGCAAGTTATCTCAGGGTAAACACTACAGCTGCAAGCGCTGCTGGCGAGTATTCTTGTGGTATATGAGAAATGGGTTAAGGAAGTTTAAAAGTTCTCAACATGATTTACAATGGTGGTTAGGAGGAGATAGTTAAGTGTACGTCTATGAAATTTTACACACCAACGTGCTCACATTATCGAATGCCTACTGTACTTAAGGCACTGTGCTACATATATGAAAGTACTAAGATTTGGTCCCCAAATAAAGCACCTTATAGTTTAATAGCAGAGAAAATAAGTATACACAAAGCATGAAGAAATGTAAATAAGAATAAAACAATCTATAAGAATAAAACATTGAGAATTCAGTGATATACATAGCATTCTCTTGCACTTAAACACTCATAAATGACATTGTATCATTATGACATGTTTTAATTCTATGACCTTTTCAGAATGCCTGTCCCCATGGTAAATAAGATATTTTGCTTTGTGGACAGATCACAGTCTTGATAGTTAATTGTATTTGAGTTTTATTATTAGCTTTGCCTTGATTCCTTGTGAGACTTTGGACAACTTACTCGGCTGCCATTCAGTTTTTCCACATACAGAACAAGTCATCCATAAAGATCTTTATCTTCATTTGAAAAAACCTCAGTGATATAAATTATTGTTGTTATGCCAGAGCTATTTAAAAAATTCTACAGAGAGTAGGATGAAAGAGTTCCTTTTAGGTTTTGTGGTAGGGTGTTTTGGAGCATTATCAAAATATGAAAGCATCTTAAGATTTATTTTTTTACTTTGTAAAGGAAAAATAAAATTAATTGATAGGGTTGATCCTAGCAAAGCTGGAATATGCAAAGCCTTTTATAGAATTAAACTTTCTAATTGATTGATTGCTATAAATTTATTGTTCCTATTTGAATTTTTCCTAAAGGGAAGTCTACCAATAATGTAAACATATTCCCCAATACTTTACTTTTAAATGATCCCAAATCATATACCCCTTATTAACAAATATTACCATTTGGGTGCTTCTTCTACTGCTTTAAGGCTACTCCTTCTCTAGCTAGAATTTTATTTCTGCTTTCTGAATTGCAAGGTCTGTGTATAGTGGTGAGGATGGGAGTGATATTGGGGGAAACCTGATGTCTCGGGGATGACCGAGCTGCAAAAACACTTCTACCCTTAATTGCAGCCCCCGTGTTGGAAGTATAGTTCAGGTGTGTGTGCATACATGCATGGACGTGCATATGTGTGCATGTGCATGAATGTATATTACATAAATGTGTGTGCATGTGTTTGTGGCGGGGAGGAAAAATGAGAGAGTCCAACAGTTGTTAAATAGGTATGGGTAAACAGAGTCCACCATCATCTTCTTTAGCCTAGTTCATGTACTGTCTATAGCTAAAAGTAACATTGAGATTATTGGGCTTTTATGTTCATGAGATGTATCAGCTTTCTGTAGGGAGGGTGGGAGGTCAAACACTTAAGAACTGGTACTGTGTATTCTTTCAAGGCATATTTATCCTCGCTCGATACCATCTGCCAGTTTGAATTTCTAGAAGATTCTATATTGCTTCTACTTGGTATCTTATATTCAATACATTCCTTAAGGCTTAAATATTGGTGCCTATTTAGTGAAGGTTTCCTGTGAAAATACCAACAAAAAATACACACATATATTTTTGTACTTTTAATATATAAGCATTTGAAAGTCAGATATAGCTTGAATTGCTATGCTAAGAGGAAAAGACTCTTTTTCAGTTCGCCTAGTTTGAAATATTTTAGCATACGAAAAATTTGTTCGCAAAGAGTAAGAGTAAAAAATTCCTTTTTAAGTACAAGATTGTGATTTGGGCTTAAAAAAATACACCATGGTCAGTGATTGAAAATTAAATGGTATTATTGTGGGAATAATATTATAAAGGTTATCATTAATAATTCTGAAAAAGCATTGCTACCTTACCTTAAACACAGAATGCTAAAGGAGAATTAAAGGCATTTAAAAACAATATATGTCAATGCAATTTCACTCCTAGGTATTTACTCAAAAGAAATGAAAACAGATGGTGAAACAAAAACTTGTACACAAATGTTTATAGCAGCAGTATTCCCAATAGCCAAAAGGTGGAAACAACCCACATGTCTCCTATCAATAGATGAAGGGATAAACAAAGTATGGTATATCCATACAATTGAATAGTATTTATCTCAAAAAAGAAAGTACTGATACATGCTACAACATGAATGAACCTTGAAAACTATGCCAAAGGAATGAAAGAAGCCAGCCACAAAAGGCCACATACTGTATGATTCTATTCATAAGAAATATCCAGAATGGGAAAATCCATAGAGATCAACAGGATATTAGTGGTTGTTAGGAGGTGGGAAGAGGGGTTGAATGGGAAGTGACTGCTTAATGGACACAGGGTTTCCATTTGGGGTGATAAAAAGTTCTAGAACTGTATAGTAGTGATAATTATACAACATTGTGAATATACTCGATGCCACTGAATTGTGTACTTTAAAATGATTAAAATGGCAATTTTTATGTTTTGTGTATTTTAGCACAATAAAAAGACATATGCACAGACATTTAAACCTATTTTTCATCATAATATTGTAATTCTAATTTATCGAAGAAAACTTTTAAAATTCAAAAAATATAAAGAAATTCAAGCCATTCATAATTACACCATTCTGAGTTAATCACTGTTAACATTTTAGATTATTTCTTTCAGTTATTTTCCTGTGTCTTTGTATTAATAAATCTGCATATTTATTTATATAACTGAGATTATATTGAATGTCCAGTCACTATTAAAAAGAGGATTATGGGGAAGTCTTTGTTTATGGTTTATCTTTGTATATGTTACTTATATTGCAAATTTCCTTTATGAAAAGTCTGTCTATATTATGAAAGTATACATTTCACTCTGAGAAACTTCACACTGTCAAATAGCTACAACTTTTCTTCAAAATGAAATATCCAATTCATCATAAGTATCTAATTTCAACCTGAAATACAAAGTGCTGTCATATGTTTAGGCCAGCGGGGAAAACGGGAGAAGATTACAGAATTTTAATAGGTAATTTTTAAGTCAAAGGTTGGTATAAGTTGTGTTTTATATAAGAAAGAACCTCTAACCTGGAGCTTTTCTGGTGAAAGTACAGTTTGAGAGTTGACCCCCACTGGTGAAGCATGTTACTGTAGTAGAATTCCTAATTAAAGGATGAAAATACCCAAATCAAAGCAGAGAGAGGGCAATGTCTAAAAGTCCCAAAGCACAGAGGTAGGTAACTTCAGTAACAAGACAGACATCTCAGACATCTCTGTGGTCATGAGGATGAGAGATGGTGACTGATGGTAATAGCTACCTAATTTTCAAATGATCAGACAAGTGAACTGCCACAGGGCCTGCTACTGTCTTACTCTCTTCTTCGTTTAAGGTTTTTAACTCAGCCTATTTGGGAATTCTCTTTTGGTAACATATCTCTAATTTTATATTGGAACTTAGTAGGAAAGCAAGATTTACATCGGATTTTGTTTTAGAGGCTAGAACGCTTATATTTGATAATAGGAATTTCTGACAAATGGTTTCACAATTGGATGTAAATAATTTCAAGTATCGAATCGAGAGAATGATTAGTAATGCTTCCATATGTTATATTTCCCTAAAAGAGTAATTATAATATTTAAAATGAGTATAGGTAGCTTCTCAAGGAGCCTGGGTAGTTAAAAACAACAAAACCATCACAAAAGGCTATAAAGACAAATTGGAACAGTGGTGCTACCCTTCAGAGAATGACTGATTATTGCCTGCATCATGATCTACTTAATTGCCCTGATAGGTATGAGAAGGATGAGAAGTGAATGATTTTGGGGAAAAAAATCATTAACTGATATAATGAAATATCTACCTACAAGGCTA